CCCCCTTTCAGTTTGCCTACAGCCCTGCCCACACATGTGGAAATACAGTCATATGGTGAAGATGGACTGCATAGATGATGGTGGTTTCATAAAGTGATACTGTGGTTTCAAATGGTTATGCTGTATCTTTTCTATGTTTAGATACATAAATACCATTGTTTCCAATTGCCCACAGTGTTCAGGACAGTAACATGCTGTACAGGTTTGTAGCCTAGGAGCAATAGGCTATAACCATCTAGCCTAGGCATGTACTAGGCCTAATTTTGTGTAAGTAGTCTGCTGTGTTCACACAATGACAAAATCACCTAACAAAGAATTTCTCAGGACATAGCACTATTCACCATAGTAAAGAAATTGAATCAACCTAAGTGTTCATCAACAGATTAGAAAAAGAAAATGTCAGAGATAGAGAGAGAGAGAGAGAGAGAGAGAGAGAGAATGGAGTACTTTTTAGCCATAAAAAAGACTGAAATGTCTTTTGCAGCAACATGGATGCTAATGGAACTGGAGTCCATTAGCTTAGGTGAAACAACTCAGAAACAGAAAGTCAAATACACATTGTTCTCACTTATGAGTGGAAGCTAAATAATGTGTACTCATGGGCACAGAGTGTGGAATGAGAGGCACTGGAGACTTGTAAGGGTAGGAGGTGGCTGATGGATGAGAGATTACTTAATGGATACAATATATACCATTCGTGTGCTGGTTACACTGAAAGCCAGAGTTTACCACTTTGCAATATATCCATGTAATACAATGGCACTTGTTCCCCTTAAATGTATGCCAAAAAAGCCTATCCTAACTTGAATGTGCTGTTTCTTGCCAGAACCCTAACTGACACACCCTTTATCTAGCTATTCTCCATCTGGAAGTTTTTCCACACTTAGACTAGCACATGTGGAAAAATTATGCTGGTCTTTCATTGTCTTGTCTTTGTCCCCATTTTTATCTTTGCAATTAGAATTTTGATCGCCTAATGTTGATTTCCTTTCAGATGTAAAAAAAATAAAGAGAGGGCTTAAAAAGGAACGAAGATGATTTTGAGCCAGAATACCTCCACCATCAGATCACTCAACTTGCTTCTCATGGGTAAGTGAGCGCTACTTTTTATCCAACTCTTGTAGGGGCAAGCCTGTGATGCTATCCTCCCTGAGAGCCCTGCTAGGAAGCAGGAATCCAGGCTCCCTAACTTAAGGACCCAGTGTCAGCCTGCCTAATGTCAGGAGTTCAATGGAAAGCAGAAAGGAAACCTGTGCTAGGGGGTTGGATTCAAGATGAATTTCTGTTCTAGTGTTCATTTTAGGAAAACAAGGTGGCGTAAGTCTTCATAATGATAGGGACTCTCATAGATGATTTGAAGAGTGATTTCTCTTAATACCCTCTGTTCCTTCCTCACCTTTGGTAAATGTCTTTATGTGTAAAGGTTATTGATTAGTGACACACTTGTTCATGTTCTGAAAATATTTCTGAGTAGATAACTCCTTCTTGGAACACTCCCTCAACCAGCCCAACTATTTAAAAAACAAAAGCAGATGACCACAGTGACTCAAGCCTGTAATCCCAGCACTTTGGGAGTCTGAGGCAAGAGAATTTGGGGCCCAGGAGTTCAAGACCAGGCTGGGCAACCTATTGAATACCCCCCCATCTTTACAGTAAATAAAAAATAATCAGCCGGCTGTGGTGGTGCACACCTATAGTCTCAACTACTTGGGAGGCTAAGGCGGAAGGATTCCCTGAGTCCAGGAAGTCAAGGCTGCAGTGAGCCATGATTGTGTCACTGCTCTTGGGCCTGGGCAACCAAGTGAGACTCTGAAT